AGAGGTCCTGGAGGTAGAGCTGATCCGAGTTTTGGACTGACCGGTGGGTGGAGATTCAGGCGTGACCTCGATAACGTTGAACAGGAGCAGGAAGAAGAGCTAGAACAGGAACTGGAGCAGGATCAGGAATAGGGACAGTATTAACACACTACGAGCCAGACACCTTTTTCGTCAACCTCACTTTAATCGGCGCTTGTGTTGAGTAAAACTGAATCAAAGTATTGATGAGTATGATTGGAAGGACGTTGATTATGGTGACAGATAATTTGGTAATTAAATTGGTATCTAGTTTCTCTGACTTTGCAGTATTTTCGTTGGATCACCAGGTTCACTTAATCGTTAGTCGTATAACATTACTGAGGGGTACTTATTTATTTAAATAGAGACGGTCACAAGACCCAAAAATTAATTTATTTACAGATTACGTCAATCTTGTGATTAGTTATTTAGAATATTATAAAGTCAGAGACACTCACATTGAATATAACAAGTCATTTTTAAATACAGTATTGAATTTGAATTTTTAATTAAATGGATCGATTTTAGATGGGGCTTTATCTGCAGGGCATTAATAAAGATAATAAATACGTAGATCGTTATACTGATCACTAGTGATAGTTACTTATGACTTTTGCCAATTCATGATGATTCAAGTAATTTCCAAGTTTCTAATCTATCTATCTTGTGTAAACTAGAAATTTAGCACAAGTTTCCTTAAATTTATTTTTAATTTATAATGTGACGTTTAATGTGTAAAATCAATGTTCCACCTCGTTGACGAAAGCTGCTGTCTATACGTATAAACTGCATTTATTAGATTGTAATAATTATTGAGGCTACATGGTACTTAAAAACCAATTGAACTTTATCCGATCGTTAAGTGCATTATAAAGCTACAACAAGTGCCATACCTTAAGTTCGTTCAGTGTATTTCCTAAATAATATCAACGTTCGACTTTTACCCAAACTTTAATTTCTAATTATATTAAGTGTGCTAATTATAATATAAATTTTAAGTTTCATTTGGTGAAATAAATGTCATATTTATGTTGCAACATCTCGTCTCGTTCTATTGAAGTTTCCTTGCAAGAAATTGACCTTATGAAGAGTGAATTTAAATCGCAACATATTCACTAGCAGTATGTACAGTGGTGTCCTCCACTAAGGACGATTTTATTTCTCTGCATCCAAAGAAGGGGTCAAATAAATGAATAAACAGCTTTTATACTGATTTATGAAGTAATTTAAACAAATATTCCGCACGTGCTGGTCGTATAAAGTCCACATAACTTCGCTAACCGTGAAATAGACACAGTGGAACTCTTGTGTATGACATAACTAGCGGTGGTGCAAGTGGCCTTGACCAACCACTTGACTTCATCGCGACTGTAACTACAAACGACTCTGGCTACGTCTAAATCAATGTCTTCTGCTATCCTACTTAATTTGAAAATAATCCTACCATTCTTATTTTGCTTTCTATCTGCCATCGCAACGCTTCCTTTCACTTTCCCTCTTCCTGTCTTTCACCTCGTTTGCCTTTTACTTACAATCAGCCTACTCATGCCTTTCCTCGCTTGTAATCTCCCTTCTCTAATCACTATACATCCGTCACGCGACTCTCTCCTATCGGAAGTTCCCAGCAAATTAACTCCATAAACTGAGAATTGTCACTATTTGCACGACATAGAGAATTTGTTGAATAGAAACTTTCCCACGACGATCTATTCGATACTCAATTATGTAGTGCGGATGTTTGAATTTTTTTCAGGATTAGAAAATATTATCAATAATTACGTAATATTGTAGTATACCTTCACCAATATAGTACAAACAAAATTTTTGTTAATCGATTTAAAAAATAAATGTATCGAAGAGGACCTGTCAGGAGCTTGCCTTTTAAACGGTGCAGAAGCTCCATTTTTTTTTAATAGACTTGCACTATTCTTATCCTCTAACGCGTTTATATTTATCCAAGTAGACGCTTTCCTTAGTAAACAGCGCGAATCTAAAGTTGCTTTATTTTCAATATCTAAACATATCCTTGCATGCAACTTTTCACCTTTATGCTTGCAAAGAAAACAATCTATTCGAGTTCCTGTGAATCTAGAAGACAGTAAATGAGGAGTAAAAAGATCGATCAATATAATGAAAATTAATATCATTAATATCAAAGTGGAGCTATAACTAACAATTAAACGCAAAGAAACTGTTTTTCGTTTT